AGGAGGTAAAAGCTGTAGTGAGCCAAGATCAAGCCACGGCACTCCAGCCTGGGCAAGAGAGCACTCTCTAAAAATAAATAAATATTTTTTTAAAAAAGAAGGTCAAAGTTACCTATTCAAGAAAATAAAGAGCTTTGCAAGTTTCTCTAAGGCTGGGGACCGTTTCTGGCAGTGTTTGGTAGACTAAACGGGACGATCATTCAATTTGATTGTACTGGTTGCTATGGTGTGGGTGCTTGTGCCCTGCCCCAAATTCGTATGTGAATTTTGTGCCTTTATAGTCTTTATAAATTTACACATTTATTGTGTCTTTATGAAAGAGACCAGAGAGAGCTTCTGCCATGTGAGGACACATAGAGGGTCCCTTGTATGAAGCACAGACCCTAACCTATGAGGTATCTGCCAGTGCATGGATCTTGGACTTCTCAGCCTCTAGACTGTGAGCAATGGAGTTCTGATGTTTATACATGACCCAGACTAAGGTGTGTTGTGACAGTAGCCCAAACAGACTAGATACTGGTAAAGGAAAGCTAATCGTCTTCAGGCTACTGATCTCCAAATCCGGAAACCCAGATAAAATTATTTTGCCCTAGTCTAGGAGGTAATAAACCTAAGGAGGTAATTCAACAGATTGCTATAGGGCTGGGTCTAGGGAGAGGCAAGTGAGGCACTTAGGGCTCAAAATCTGAGGAGATGCTGACTCTGGGTGTCCTGCCATGCTGGGTGCACTTAGAGGAGCCTGAGAGTGAGCTGCTGTTTCAGGCCTGCCTCCCCTGGTCCTAGCCTTGTGACGCTCCAGTGCCAAGCAACTCAACTTCTCTATAAAAACAGGTTGATAATCATGGTGTCCACATCTAGGAAACATCAAACAGCCAGGCACGGTGGCTCATGCCTGTAATCCCAGCACTTAGGAAGGCTGAAGCGGGTGGATCACTTGAGGTCAGGAGTTCGAGACCAGCCTGGCCAACATGGTGAAACCCCGTCTCTACTAAAGATACAAAAAAATTAGCCGGGCATGGTGGTGTGTGCCTGTAATCCCAGCTACTCAGGTGGCTGAGTCAGGAGAATTCCTTGAATCTGGGAGGCAGAGGTTGCAGTCAGCCGAGATTATGCCATTGCACTCCAGCTTGGGCAAGAGGGCGGGACTCCATCTCTCAAAAAAAGAAAAAAAAAATCAAACACACAGAAAAGATTGATAAATTAGGTATCATTAAAAGTAAGAAATTCTGTTCATCAAAAGACACCTTTAAGAAAATAAGAGATGGGCACAGTGGCTCACACCTGTAAGTAATCTCAGCACTTTGGGAGGCTGAGGCAGGAGGATCACTTGAGCCCAGGAGTTGGAGACGAGCCTGGACAACATACGAAGACCCTCATCTCTACAAAAAAATTTTTAAAAATTAGTCAGGTGTGACGGTGCACGCCTGTGGTCCCAGCTCCTCGGGGCTGAGGTGGGAGGATTGCTTGAGCCTAGGAGATCAAGGCTGCTATGAGTCAGAATTGTGCCACTCCACTCCAGCCTGGACCATAGAGTTAGATCCTGCCTTGAGAAAGAAAAATAATGAAAATGATCTACAGAGTGAGAGAATGTATTTTTTAATATATTTTATCTACCAACAAATTTAGAATATAACAAGAATTCCTAAAAGCAATAAGAGAGAAAAGCAATCAGTAAGTCAGTAAGTACAGCACTTCACCAAAGAATAATCCAAATAGCCAGGCAGTATGTGAAAAGATGCTTAAAGTTTTTAGTCATTAAGAAAATGCAAATGAACACGACAATGATATATACTACACACCCACCAACATGGCTACAGGTTTTAAAACTGGCAATATGGTGGGGTGTGGTGGCTCACACCTGTAATCCCCGCACTTTGGGAGGCCGAGGCAGGTGGATCACAAGGTCAGGAGTTTGAGACCAGCCTGGCCAACATGGTGAAACCCTGTCTCTACTAAAAATACAGAAATTAGCTGGGTGTGGTGGTGGTCGCCTGTAGGCCCAGCTACTCAAGAGGCTGAGGCAGGAACATCTCTTGAACACAGAAGGTGGAGGTTGTAGTGAGCTGAGATTGTGCCACTGCACTCCAGCCTTGGCGACAGAGCAAGACTATGCCAAATCAAAAAACAAAAAACCTGACAATACAACACAAGGACAAAGCCATGAAGCACATGGAACTACTATGCACTATTGCTGGGGGTGCAGTTGTGACAGCCACTTTGGAAAATTGTCTATTCATATTTACTAGAGCTGAATATACACATTGTGACCCAGAAATTCCTAGATATAGGCCTAATACACATACATATATATGAACATCAAAAGGCATATACACTGGGCCATAAAACACACTTCAACAAATTTCAAAGAATGGACATCATATAAAGCATTGTGTCAGACCACAGCAGAATTAAACCAGAAACCAGTAACTGAATAATAACTGGAAAATCCCCCAAATACATGCAGGTAAAACAACAGCCTTCCATATAGCACATAGGTCAGTCAAAGAAGAAAACTCGGCTGGGTGTGGTGGCTGATGCCTGTAATCCCAGCACTTTGGGAGACCAAGGTGGGCAGCTCACCTGAGGTTAGGAGTTTGAGACCCACCTGGTCAACATGGTGAAACCCTGACTCTAATACAAATACAAAAATTAGCCAGGAGTGATGGCAGGTGCCCATAATCCCAGCTACTTGGAGAACAGAAGCAAGAGAATTGCTTGAACCTGGGAGGCGGAGGCTGCAGTGAGCAGGGATCGCTGCCACTGCACTCCAGTCTAGGATTACAGGTGCCCAGCACCACGCCCAGCTAAATTTTGTATTTTTAGTAGAGACAGGGTTTCACCATGTTGGCCAAGCTGGTCTCCAACTCCTGACCTCAGGTGATCCACCCGTCTTGGCCTCCCAAAGTGCTGGGATTACAGACCTGAGCCACCGTGCCTGGCCAGATTTACAGAGAGAGGGTCTAAATTCCTAACCCCACATCTTTTCCTCTTGATGAGCTCTGTGGTTCTACTAAAACAACAATAAAAACCTACCTATTTTGTTTTCTCCTTAAATGGTTTAGTCTTCTGATTGTATACAAGCAAACACATACGCTTTACAGGTGAGTAACTTTGCTAGGTTTAATCTTCCAACAAGTTGCCATCCATACTTCAGAGGTGTGTGTGTGTGTGTGTGTGTGTGTGTGTGTGTGTACACTTCATAAGAAACCTGACTCTGCCCAGGGTTAGCTCTGGGAAAAGTTGCTTGTGAGAGTGGCTGAAGGTCACAGAGGCCTGGAAGGTTGGACAATGGAGACCCTGACTCTAAATAAATAACAAAGAGAGCCCTAACAACTCATTTATCGTGAATTTGTTATGTACCAGGAACTGTATAGGAGATTGTGGATAAAGAAAAGACATCATCCTTAATCTTGAAAAGCTCAAGGTTGGCCTGACTCCAGGGCTCACGCCTGTAATCCCAGTACTCTGGGAGGCAAAGGTGGGCAGATCACCTGGGGTCAAAAGTTCAAGACCACCCTGGCCAACATGGTGAAACCCTGTCTATACTAAAAACTCAAAAATTAGCCAGGCATAGTGGAACACACCTGTAGTCCCAGCTGCTCAGGAAGCTGAGGCAGAAGAATCGCTTGAACCCAGGAGGCAGAGGTTGCAATGAGCTGAGATCACGCCACGGCACTCCAGTCTGGGCAACAGAATGCAACTGTCTCAAAAAAAAAAAAAAAAAAAAGAAAAGAAAGAAAGAAAGAAAGAAAAAGAAAAGCTCAAGGCCTAAGAGATAATAAACCAATAACAATAATATAACACTAGTGAGAAATACATAGTGCACCATGGTAACAGAAGAGAATGTATAAAGAATGTTGAAATAGCATTAAATTTTCTTTCATTCTTCTTTTGAACTGGAAATTACTTTTTTTTTTTTTTTTTTTAGACATGGTCTTACTCTGTCCCTCAGGCTGGAGTGCCATGGTAGGATCTCGGCTCACTCCAAGCTCTGTCTCACTAAATGATACATTATATCATGATAAGTGCTTTAAACTTTATATCAAATATCTCATGAGTTTCAGTTGCAGACAAATCCAGGGTATCCCTGGGTGAGCCCAGTGAGTCCTGCCCCCTAGTGTTCATGTTTTCTATCTTCTCCCCTCCAGTGATGGTGGCACCTGTGACTTGATCTAACCAATAGCATAAGACAACGTCTATGGAAAGTCACTGCCATGATTACATTATTTAAGATTTTCTTTCAGCAGACTGGAATTTAACTCATTGCTGGCTTGATGAAGTAAGGAGATATGTTGAGAAATCCTGTGTGACAAGAAGCCACAGGCAGCCTCTAGGACCTATGGGTGGCCTCCAGGACACAAGCCATCCTTACTGAGACTGTTTCCTTCTTACACTTTTGTTATTAAAATGATCTTGTTACTAGAAAGGTGTCCCCATCTAGACCCAAGAGAGGGTTCTTGGATCTTAAGCAAGAAAGAAGTTGAGGCGTGTCCATAAGTTTCATTAAGCGAAAGCAAGATTATTAAAGGAATGAAAGAATGTCCACTCCATAGGCAGAGCAGCACAGAGGGGAGCTGGTTGTCTATTTTTATGGTTATTTGTTCATTTAGGTTTTTGAGATGAGTCTTGCTCTGTCATCCAGGCCAAAGTGCAGTGGCTCAATCTCAGCTCACTGCAACCTCCACCTCCCGGGTTCAAGCGATTCTCCTGCCTCAGCCTCCCAAGTAGCTGGGACTACAGGCGCTCCCCACCACGTCTGGCTAATTTTTGTATTTTTAGTAGAGACGGGATTTCACTATGTTGGCCAGGCTGGTCTGGAACTCCTGGTCTCAAGTGATCGGCTCGCCTAGGCCTCCTAAAGTGCTAAGACTACAGGCGTGAGCCACAGCGCTCCGCCCAGCCGACAGTCTTTCTTTTGTAAAATGATACGAACTAGTAAAGATTTTCTTTCTCCCCTAGCAGAAGAGTTGTTAGGCTTCCAGATTTGTTTCTGTACTTACTAGACTTCCACTTTTCTTATTTTCCTCCTCTGTCAGCTTTGTTTGTTGTCTCAAATAGGCAATGAAAAGACACCGGTCTTTATTTTTACTGGAATGCTCTTTCCATCTGGTCAGTATTTTTTCCAACCAGGCGGAATTCAAGTTCTGATCTGTGAGTTTCCAAAGTCAGGACTCGGTGCTGCACCCAACATGGGTGTGTGGAGAGAGCGAAGGCAGGGTCTGCGGGGCAGGGCCGGGACTCCGAGGAGCGGGGACCCAGCCCCGCCTCGCCGCACCGCCCGCACCTTTCCCCAGCCTTCTCGGGGCAGAAGGGAGGCCTGGCAGGGAGGAGTCCCGTCCTCATGAATGGTCACAAACCGGGCTCTGGGGAAGCACGCCCAGTCCCCGCAGTCCCCGCGCTATAGAAGTCGGCCGCCTGCGCGCGTCCTGCCTTCCGCGGATCGAACGGGTCACCCAACCGGGTTTACAGTTTCAGGAACCGCCCGGGAACCAGCCCCAGCATCACTGACTCGCGACACCAGAGCGCTGGCAACGCGGAAACGCGCAGCGGCTACACCGCCAGGGGACGCTGCGCACCTCCAAGAGTCTCAGCGTTTCTCGCGATAGGTGAGGCTCGGCGTTCCGGAAGTGGTTTCCCGGAAGAGGTTTCCCGGAAGAAGCATGTCTGCGCCCGCGATCCGGCTGGACGCTGCACGCTGATCCGCCGGCATCATGCAGTCGGATGATGTGAGACTCCTCCCGTTGTTCTGACCCGGGGTTTGCGCAGGGAATTTTGCCCACTTTAGGACGCTTAGAAAATGCGTACTCAACTGGCCTGCTGCCTTGTGCCGCTCCGGAGGCTAGGCTTCTGGAACCCCGATTTTCCAACGTGGGTTCTCACGCGTGTCCAGCGGGGGTCTCCTGCCCGCTGCCCCGTCCGGGTTGTGAGCATGGGACGCAGTCACCTCAGCCCGTGGAGTCGATGTGTCCGGTCTTTCGTGCCTAGCAATGCAGGACATCGTGCCATGTTGTCAGCTGTCAGCTCCGGACGTGGGGCGCGGGGCGGTAGGGGATTTGGCGAAGTTGACTCCAAGTTTAAGCGTCCTTCTCATCCATGTGCGCGTTACTCTTTCATCTGCGTTTCCTGTTAGGCTTTTCTTTACATTTGCTAAAATCATAATTTTGGAAGCATCCGAGATTCATTCGTTGAGTTTTTTGTTGGAGAAATATTTAAGTGCTTACAATGTGCCAGGCATTGTGGTTATTACTGAGGATTTGGTTAACAAACCAGAAAAAACACCCCAACTCTCCTGGAGCACTGGTTTGGGGAGACACAGTAAACAAGTGAACAAATAAATGAACAATTACACTGTATAATCGTACTATGAAGGAAAGTCCAGGGATGATGAAGACCACTTCAGATAGCGGTACTCATAGAAGATTAGATAGACGGTTTCCCTGAACAGAGATATTTGAGTTGAGATCTAAAAGGTGTGAATAAGCCAGTTACTGAGCTGAGGAAAAAGCAATCCGGGCAAAGGAACAGTAAAATACAAAGAGCTGAAGATATGAAAGAATGAATATAAGGGTCATCAAAGTGACAGTGTAAGAGAGGTAATGAAATTAGATATGCTTGCCAGGGCGAGGTCATGCGGAGTCTTGTAGGAAGTGTTTTTAGGCCTTTTAATGATCTGTGTGAAAAGTTGTCTAGTTGCTGCGTGAAGGATTTTTGGAGAGAAAGAATGAAAGCAAGGAGACTAGGGTATGACAAAGTTTGCTTCGAGCCAGATAGGGTGGGTCACGCCTGTAATCCCAATCATTTGGAGGGCTGAGGCTGGAGGATCGCCTGCGGCCCAGAGTTGGATTCCAGTTTAGGAAACAAAGTGAGACTCCATCTCTACAAAAAATAAAAATTTAGCCGGAATTTGGATATGTTAATACTTATGCTGCCTTTTCTATATTTATTTATTTATTTTTGAGATGGAGTGTTACTCTGTCACCCAGGCTGGAGTACACTGGTGCTTGCCTGAGGTCCCAGTTACTTGGAAGGCAGAGGCGGGGGGGATTACTTGAGCCCAAGAGTCGGAGGCTGCCATGAGCTATGTTGGCGCCACTGCACTCCAGTCTGGGCGACAGAGAGACCCTGTCGCTAAATAAAAATTTTTAAAAACGAAAATAGCTTCACCTAAGGTAGTAATTTAATGGTGGAGATGAAAAGAAATTGATGAATTTGAGACCTGTTATGTCAGTGTAACTGACAAGACTTTGGTGATGGATTAAGTGAAGAAGAAAAGGAAGAAATGCATTTAGGATATAAATATATAGTTTAATGGTGATTTTATTTATTGAAGTGGGGGAACTCTAAGGAAGACTGTTCTTATGAGGGATGTGGAATTGAGAACTCCATGTGGATATGTTAATACTTATGCTGCCTTTTCGATGTTTATTTATTTATTTTTGAGATGGAGTGTCACTCTGTCACCCAGGCTGGAGTACACTGGTACCATCTCAGCTTGCTGCAACCTCCGCCTCCTGGGTTCAAACAATTCTCCTGCCTCAGCCTCCCAAGTAGCTGGGACTATAGGGTCATGCCACCACGCTCAGCTAATTTTTGTATTTTTAGTAGAGACAGGGTTTCACCATGTTGGTCAGGCTGGTCTCGAACCTTTGACCTTGTGATCTGCCTGGTCTCCCAAAGTGCTGGGATTACAGGCATGAGCCACTGCACCTGGCGCCTCTTAGATATTGAAGTAGAGATGCCTTATACAAATCTGGTGCTCAGAGAGAAAGTCTCACCAGGAAATAACAATTTCGGAGTCATCATTTAGAGATGGTACTTAAAGCCACAAGCCTAAATGAGTTCCCTCATTCTTCTTACCTGTTTCTTACCATCCCCCACTGGACACACCTATAAAATTCTCAAAGTGTGTTTTATTCTTTGGCCCTCTTCATATTTTTCCTTTAATAGTGGTAAAGCTTTTTTCCCCCCAGTTCCTCAAGGCCGCACACTCAAAGGCTGTCATACTCTTAGGCATGCTGTGTGGCCTTTAGACCTACTGCTATTTTGTGATACTTTGTTTACACATCTTTTCCCCTAACTAGATAGATAAAACTCTTTAAAAAGTATACTTTCATTCAGCAAACACTTGAGTGGCTACTGTGTGTCAGGACTTGGAGATGTCAGTGCCTCACATAAATTAAATCTATAATGCTGAATGAAAAAAGAGCACATTAGTTACAGGAGGATAGCAGTAGATAATTTTCTTTGCCCTCAATGAGATAAAATTATGGTACGTATATCCAAAAATCTAATACTATGAAGCCTTTTTTTTTTTTTTTGAGACAGAGTCTTACTCTTGCCCAGGCAGGAGTGCAGTGGTGTGATATCTGCTCACCACAGCCTCTGCCTCATGGGTTCAAGTGATTGTCCTGCCTTAGCTGGGATTATAGGCACCTGCCACCATGCCCACCTAAATTTTGTATTCTTAGTAGAGATGGGATTTCACCATTTGGCCAGGCTGGTCTCGAACTCCCGACCTCCAGTGATCTGCCAGCTTGGCCTCCTAAAGTGCTGGGATTACAGGCATGAGCCACCACACCCAGCCCATGAAGCCTTTAGTAATGGATAATGAACATAAGTAAAAAAGGAAATTATGAAATATATATAATGTGATCTCGTGATCTCACAGAGGATGTCCAAAAAAAATCTGGAAAAATATTTACACGATAGTTATGAAATTTTATCTCTGGGTAATGGAGTTATGATTATTGCTGATCTGTATTTCACTTATCTATAAGAATCTGCTATTTGTATTTTAAAAAGTAAACAAGTTAGGCTATTTTACAAAACCTTTCTTCCTCTCATTTCCTGTCCTTGGGCATTGCCTTCTTGAATTAATATGGCATTTCTTGGGGCAGAGCAATTTAAATGGGTTTTTACTGTGTCTTGCAGGTTATCTGGGATACATTAGGAAACAAGCAATTTTGTTCCTTCAAAATAAGGTGAGTCTGAATTTACAGCTTGGTCAAAGATTCCTTCACTTGCCTTCTTGGTAGCCCATTTTGTAATCTTTGTTTCTTTTCTCCCATTCTAGAACCAAGACTCAGAGCTTCTGCAGAAATGAATACAGCCTGACTGGACTCTGTAATCGGTCATCTTGTCCCCTGGCAAATAGCCAGTATGCAACTATTAAAGAAGAGAAAGGTAACTCCCCGGTTTTAACTGCTAGACGAACTGCTCCACAGCTTTTACAGGGATGTTCTTTAGTCTCTGTAAATAACATTAAAGCTATTTTACTTTATCCTCAGGACAGTGCTACTTGTATATGAAGGTTATAGAACGAGCAGCTTTTCCTCGGCGTCTCTGGGAACGGGTAAGCCTTACGACAAAACTATAGTGACCACTCATCAAGAGCATGACAGCCACATGCTTGATTGTGATGCCCTCTTCCTTAACCATATCTGAACTTTTTTTTTTTGAGACGGAGTTTCACTCTTGTTACCCAGGCTGGAGTGCAATGGCGTGATCTCGGCTCACTACAACCTCCTCCTCCTGGGTTCAGGCAATTCTCCTGCCTCAGCCTCCTGAGTAGCTGGGATTACAGGCACGCGCCACCATGCCCAGCTAATTTTTTGTATTTTTAGTAGAGACGGGGTTTCACCATGTTGACCAGGATGGTCTCGATCTTTTGACCTCGTGATCCACCCGCCTCGGCCTCCCAAAGTGCTGGGATTACAGGCTTGAGCCACCGTGCCTGGCCAACCATATCTGAACTTTTGAGGCCATCCTCATTAGGCCATAGGTGTCACTGACAGTGAAAACCTAATGATTCATGTACACTTGCCCTTCAAACTTCCTTTTTCTGTTTGGTAGGTCCGGCTTAGTAAAAACTATGAGAAAGCACTGGAGCAAATAGATGAAAATCTGATTTACTGGCCCCGTTTCATTCGACACAAATGTAAGCAGAGATTCACCAAGATCACCCAATACCTAATTCGAATTAGAAAACTTACACTAAAGCGACAGTAAGTATTTAGATCATTCATTATTTTTAAATCTGTCTTTTCATGGAGCTTGTTTTGAAGTTGAGAAATTGTAAAACTTCGGGACTTTCTATTCAACTTTGTGGAGTATGTTATGATGTACTAAGAAGAAACTTTAGCTTAAACTAAAGGTGTGCCCTTTGATATGACGGGACTTTTTAAAATGGAATACAACTTGATTATCACCCTTCTTGTCTGAACATCTTTCAGAAAATTCAGAAAGAAAAGAAAGTCCTTTTGAGACAGTCTCGCTCTGTGGCCCAGGCTGAAATGTACAGTGGCGCTATCTCACTCAGCTCACTGCAACCTCCACCTCAGCCTCCCAAGTAGCTGTGATTACAGGCCTGCATCACCACACTGGGCTAATTTTTTTTTCGTACTTTTAGTAGAGACGGAGTTTCACCATCTCAAGTGATCCGCCTGCCTCAGCCTCCCAAAATGCTGGGATTACAGACATAAACCACCATGCCTGGCCTTCAGAAAATGTTCTCTATAACTCCCTGAGGGAATCTTAACATTAGAGATTTGAAAATGAGCTAAGAAATGTGAATATACAGGAATGTAAGAACTTTACTCTGGATTCACTGAAAACTAATGTTAAAAAGTGATATGAAATCTCCAGAATTAACAGAGTACCTTCTCTAAGACTGTTAGGCCCTAATGCTTTTTGATTGTGATCAACAGAGAATGCTAAAGATGATGTCAGACTTAAACAGAAAATTCTTTTTTCTCAGTTCACTGAAGTCTTAATTTTAGCATGGCAGATTCCCTGAGAATCCCAGAATGCCTAAACAAAAATAGCCAGATTAAAATATATGTAAAAATATGTAACTTTTTATGGAATTAAATGTCTAGAAGCATTTAAATAGTACATCTTGATGTATTAAGCTGAGCCCTACAGAACCAATTCTAGTCCTTTTTCTTATCTCTAAAAATGAATACATAGCACATGAACTTGGATTTTCTGATATATTTTTTTTCCCTTAGGAGGAAACTGGTTCCTTTGAGTAAGAAGGTGGAACGTAGGGAGAAAAGAAGAGAGGTAACTTATTGTTGTGATATTCATACCTTCTACATTTTCTTTCTGGTGGGCTCTTATAGATTCAGTCACCATCACTTATGTAAACTGTTCAGGCCCTCTGAAAAATGTAGATTTGCAAGAATTTTAAATGGATTACAGTATTCTTTTCCACGTTTTTACAGTGTGTGATTGTGATTTTTATAGGAGACATGTTTTCAGCAGTGCCATATCTAATTATCCCCTTTCTTTTCAAAATGTGCACAGAATAAGTTTTTCTTTCAAAATACAGTTTTTTTCCTCAAACTATTAAAAGGTTGCCTTAGTCTGGGAGAAACAGATTAAGTGTGTTTATTTTTTTAAAACTTCTACTGGGTTATATACTACTGACAACCATTTGTTATCTTAGAAAAGTGGCTGGGTGTGGTGGCTCAAGCCTGTAATCCCAGCACTTTGGGAGGCCGAGACGGGTGGATCACGAGGTCAACATATCGAGACCATCCTGGTCAACATGGTGAAACCCCGTCTCTACTAAAGATACAAAAAATTAGCTGGGCATGGTGGCGCGTGCCTGTAATCCCAGCTACTCAGGAGGCTGAGGCAGGAGAATTGCCTGAACCCAGGAGGCGGAGGTTGCGGTGAGCCAAGATCGCACCATTGCACTCCAGCCTGGGTAACAAGAGCGAAACACTGTCTCAAAAAAAAAAAAGAAAAGGAAAAAGAAAAAGATAGCAAGTTTGGAACATTTTTCTTTTTGTGAAAATGCACGATTATCTTTAGGTTCTATAACTCTCACTCTGTTACCCAGGCTGGAGTGTAGTGGAGCGATCTTGGCTTACTGCAACCTCCACCTCCTGGGTTCAAGCAATTCTTGTGCCTCAGCCTCCTGAATAACTGGGATTACAGGCATGTGCCACCACACCTGGCTAATTTTTTGTATTTTTAGTAGAGATGAGGTTTCACCCCATTGGACAGGCTGGTCTCGATCTCCAGACCTCAGGTGATCTACCCACTTCAGCCTCTCAAAGTGCTGGGATTACAGGCATGAGCCATCACGTGGGTCTGGTTCCACAACTTTTTAAAGTACTAACCCATTAGATAACTAGCATACCTTTATGACTACTCCCTATCTTTGGCAGAATATTCAGTGTCATCTATGAATCCACTTAACTAAGCAAACATAAACAGTTAATCATCTAAATAAAGGAGTGAGACTACCACTTGCAAGTGCTTTGTGCAGTATTCCTTCCTTGAGATATCTTGCTCACTGTATCTGACACACAACTATTAATAGACAGTCAAGGCACCAATGTCAGTTGTAATGATGTTTGTTTATTTATTTTTGAGATGGAGTCTCACTCTGTTACCCAGGCTGGAGTACAGTGGTGTAGTCTCGGCTCACTGCAGCCTCCGCTTCCCAGGTTCCACTGATTCTCCTGCCTAAGCCTCTCGGGTAGCTGGGATTACAGGCACACACCACCATGCCCGGCTAACTTTTGTATTTTTAGTAGAGATGGGGTTTTACCATGTTGGCCAGGTTGGTCTCGAACTCCTGACCTCAGTTGATCCACCCACCTTGGCCTCCCAAAGTGCTAGGATTACAGGTGTCAGCCAACACACCTGGCCCATGACATTTAATTTTTTAAGGAAAAAGAGATACATGGAACTTTTGAATATTTTCTTCTTACACTTTAGCAGATCATCCTCGAGGCATAAGCACTCCACTCTAGAGAACAACATGGAACATCACCATTATATCATCTCCAATGAGAGAGCACTTAACTTTTTACCTATTCTATCACATAGAATCTAGGATGATTTTACAAAATGTAAACAAATGAAGATTTCTGTTCCCTTTTCTCAGCTTTTACAAAGTCTGGCTCCAGAGCTGCTAGATTTTTTATGAGACACTTAGAGGTATATAGTCCTACATGTTTTGTATCTGTCAAAGGCTTTGTTAGAATTTAGAATGTTGTTTACAAAACTATAGGAATTTCAAAATGGAAGCATTCCCAAGAAAGTCTGCAAGAGAAAGAAGAAATATATCTGGCTGGAAAGGCAAAAGCCAGTAATAGCAAGGAGGGGAAATGATTACATTGTGTTTCTTATTAAAAAAACTTGGTAGTTTCTTCCATTTTTATAAAATGAATAACCAGCACTGATGAATTAAATGGATTTGCTCTTTCCCTCTTACAGGAAAAGGCATTAATAGCTGCTCAACTAGACAATGCCATTGAGAAGGAATTACTGGAGAGACTGAAACAAGATACGGTGAGAGAGCCAGTAGCTTTGGGGTACTTATATTTTAAGTGGTAATATGATGCTAAGACATATTGGGAAATGTTTTTTAACATGATATAAAGATCTCTGCTTGAATTTTATCCCTGAAATAAAATAAATCCAAATCGGCCTGGCTTATTTTAGTTAATTAATGTAAGCACATAAAATGCTTTGGTTACCCTTGATACTCCATTCACTGTAAGAGACCTTTCCCTTTTTGCCATTATTCTAACTCTATTCCCCAAGGCAGCAACTCCAGATTTCTGTGTAAAAGCCACGGGGTTTTCCTTCTCCTCCATAATTATCCTAGTCTTTTAAGGTTTCATTCTCTTTTTAAAAATTACTATTGTTTAAACAGACAACGTGACTAAACTATGCTGTTTCCTTATTATTCATCCTTGTCAGCAAAATTACATTTGTCCCAATGCATGGGTTTTATAGACTATTACATTTTAATGGATGTGGTCCCATCCTCCATAGAAGTTACCTATTTGATACTAACTACTGATGATTTAAATGTTCAAAACATGCTTTTTTAAGACACTGGTGGCTCTACACTTAAAAATATTACTCATCAAATTAAGTATTCTGATTTAATCACTGGGGAAAAAAATAATATGCTCACAGACCGTGGAACTTCAAGTGTCACATCCAAATGTAATTAAAGCCAGTCTGTGTTTATGTTCTTTAGTATGGAGACATCTACAACTTCCCCATTCATGCCTTTGACAAGGCCCTGGAACAACAGGAGGCAGAGAGTGACTCTTCAGATGCTGAGGAAAAAGATGATGAAGATGAAGATGAGGAAGTAAGTCTTGTTTTTGTTTTGCCAAACCTATTAGATACTATTTGTATATAACTGAGAGAAACAGTATCATCTTTAGTCAGCTAATCAAAAATAATTTGTCTTCTCTTTTCTGTCATAAGATTAACTTTAGTTTAGCACTGGTTGCGCTGCTCTTCAGGCTAACCAACAAACCATTAACAGTTTTTAGTCCTAATTTATTGGCTTTCTAAAATTGTTCCTGCAAGATGACAAATTATAAACCCTTTCCTGTCTGTATCTAGGTTTTAACCATAATGAGAATGTTTTACTGCTAATAATTTTAAATCAAGAATAAGAATTACCCAATAGCCCTAAAATTTTTAAAATTCAGAAGCATTAAACTTCAGAAGAATTAAATTTTGGTTGCCTAGTGAATAGACTCTGGTTCTGAATATGTTATTTTGTACTTATTTAGATGTCTAATCTGAATCTTCATTCAGTTATGTTTTATTTATAGGATGTGGGGAAAAGAGAATTTGTTGAAGATGATGAGGTAGATGAGAGTGACATAAGTGATTTTGAGGTAAGCTTTGTGAGTAAAAAGATTATCCTTTGCCCTGCAGCAAAAAGAAGAAGAAGAAGAACAGGGAGGTGGCCACGCACAGGGGCTCACACCTATAATCCCAGCACTTTGGGAGGCTCAATCACTTGAGCTCAGGAGTTCGAGACCAGCCTGGGCAACATAGTGAGACCTCATCTCTTTTTTTGAGATGGAGTCTTGCTCTGTTGCCAGGCTGGCATACAGTGGTGCAATCTCGGCTCACTCCAACCTCCCCATCTCCTGAGTTCAAGCGATTCTTCCGCCTCAGCCTCTCAAGTAGCTGGGACCACAGGTATGTGCCACCACACCCGGCTAATTTTTGTATTTTTAGTAGAGACAGGGTTTCACCATGTTGGCCAGGATGGTCTCGATCTCTTGACCTCATGATCCGCCCACCTCGGCTTCCCAAAGTGCTGGGATTACAGGCGTGAGCCACTGTGCCCAGCCTAAAACATTTTTAAAAATCATGGCCAGGTGCAGTGGCTCATGCCTGTAATCCTAGCACTTTGGGAGGCCAAGGCAGGCAGATTACCTAAGGTCAGGAGTTCAAGACCAGCCTGGCCAACATGGCAAAACCCTGTCTCTACTAAAAATACAAAAATTAGCCAGGCATGGCAGCACATGCCTGTCATCCCAGCCACTTGGGAGGCTAAAGCAAAAGAATCACTTGACCCAGGAGGCAGAGGTTGCAGTGAGTTGAATCTCACCACTGCACTCCAGCCTGGGCCCCAGAGCAAGACTCCGTCTCAAAAAAGAATGAAAAAATTAAAAATCAGCTGGGGGTGGTGGCAGTTGCCTGTAGTCCCAGCTACTCAGGAAGCTGAGGTAGGAGGATTGCTTGACTACAGAAGTTGGAGGCTTCAGTGAGTCATGACTATGCCACTACACTCCTGCTTGGGCAACAGAGCAAGTCTTCAAAAAAGAAAAAAAAAATACGGAAGGTTTCTGAATACAGGCACAGGCATATCAATTCCCTAGTCTGTTCTAAATTGAGGGGACAATGGAGGTAGTTGGGAGAAATCTAGTGTTTTCCCTCCTTTATCTTTTCTCTCCCCATATTAGGATATGGATAAACTGGATGCCAGCAGTGATGAAGATCAGGATGGTAAATCCTCCAGTGAAGAGGAAGAAGAAAAGGCCCTTAGTGCGAAACACAAAGGCAAAGTGCCCTTGAAAGGACCACTGCGGAGAAAACGAGCCTATGTGGAAATAGAATATGAGCAGGAGACAGAGCCCGTGGCCAAGGCCAAAACCACGTGATTTCTCTTTAAACACTCATACCAGGACTGAACATACAGAACTACTTCTTTTCTTTTTTAATCTTAAACATATAAACACCTCCAGTTTTTGCTCTTTTGTGTTGTATTAAACACAGTATTTGTGTTTTTATTATTTATGCCACATCAGTGAGGCAAGAAATCTGGAGTGAGTGAAGAAAGCCCTAAGTTGTGAACAAGAGTGTTTTTATAGCATATGTGTTGAAGTAACAGCTTGTGCCCAAGAAATTTAACAGATGAGTTCTTGAATCTGGAATGAGATGATGGATGTAAATATTTCTAAATTTTAAATGCTAAATTCCTTGGTGTCCTTTTTTCTCCCAAACTTTATTTAGAAATGGAAGGAATTCAATTTTATCTTGTTCTACTTTCCCTACTCCCGTGGAGGTAAAAGGAAAGAAGGAAAAAGCAGCTTTAACTTACAAAGTTTAGTGTAAAAATACCTTTTTTCTTAAATAACTCCATTCAAACAATTTGGGATGGAACGAGTCCTTCTGTCTTGGGAAAGTAATGCAAGTCTTAAGTTCCATCATAGGGAGCGCCTTCAGAAATCTGCTGGACTTTTCTGATACAGTTCACCACGTTGCTGTCTTCACAGCTTTGGGGAATTTTGGCCAGGAGACCCTGAAACATGAAACCAAACAGGCCTTGATTTTTTTTTTAATTACTTTTTTCCCCTTTTGCTTGATTCTTCTTTCTTGTTATCCTACTCAAAGGAGGAAAGAATGGATCACACTCGAGGACAGGTCACTAAACAGAGTAGGTATTAGGTTTTTTAATTTTTAATTTTAAAATTTATATAGCTCTTATGTATTAAAGGTGTTGCTTTAAAAACTGTGTTAATGTGCTTGCAAATCTCCTGCTGGCTCATGAAGCAGCAGAATTCCAGCCAAGGCAAATTCAGCTGGGTCTAGGGCTTGAAAACTACCCAAGATTAAAGAGCTAAGATGAAATCGTTTGAATAAACTGGTAAAATAACAATTCATACTATCTCTACATATTTTTAAGATATGAATTTTTTTTCCCCTGCCGGGTAGATTGTCCAATGAGAATTTCTAAATTCATGCCATATAGGCCCCTAAACAAAGGCCTGTATGGCATGAATTTCTTTTCATGCTGCCTTCAATCTTTTAACTAAAGATTTCTAAAAGAGGTAAGAAATGAGGTAATAGTGGTGGGGCGCAGTGACTCATACCTGTAATCTCAGCACTTTGGGAGGCCGAGGCAGGTAGATCACCAGGTCAGGAGTTCCAAGACCAGCCTGACCAACATGGTGAAACCCCATCACTACTAAAAATACAAAAATTAGCCAGGCATGGTGGTGGGCGCCTGTATTCCCAGCTACTCAGGAGGCTGAGGCAGGAGAATCACTTGAACTCAGAAGGCAGAGGTTGCAGTGAGCTGAGATTGGGCCACTGCATTCCAGCTTGGGTGACACAGCAAGACTCTCAAAAAAAAAAAAGCAATAGTTTACTAAATACATAGAAATACATATGAATTATATGCTATGGCTTTAAGAAATGAACTTCTGTGGATTATGAAACCAAAGGAAGAATTTCCATGTAGATAAATTAAGAATATTGGAAAACATCTACCTAAGAGATGGTTTCCCCTAAAAAACTGGAAACATTTCAAATGCTCTATTGATGTTGTTATTCCTGGGAGCTAATGGCCCATTATTTCTACTTTTTGGTATTTTTTTTTTTTGAGACGGAATCTCGCTTTGTCACCAGGCTGGCGTGCATACTTATTTTTAATTCAGAAGACTAGAGCAGAACTTAAATTTTACAAACATTTGATCATAATGCTTTTCTTTTGCCCATTCTCTCTTGTCCTTAGCCCCGGTGACATGTGCTGATCCTCCTGCCTTTAGTTCTAAATGGTTCTGAATAGCTTTAAAACATCAGTAAGAAAAAAGATCAAGCTGTGTTGAATGCTAGAGGGCTCATACAGAGACCTAAAACCCTCCATGTTCATTTTCAGACTTGGTCAGGCACATAGTAAATTATAATCAATCATAGGAATTACATAAGGATAATGAGGCCCAAGTGAAACCAAGTTTCAGTCTGTCTTACCTTCACCCGTCCTTGAGAGCAGCAGTCCAGGAGAATCAGGCAGTCTGTGGCCTCCTGTAGCAGGGAGCTCTTAACACACTGGGGTGTAAGGCTTGGATCCCTTGCTACATCACATATCAGTTTTAAGAGAGCCTTCAATAAGACCACAAGTCTGCAGGAAACTCTGGAATTAAGAAAAAAAATCTATGTTCATATTGTAAATCAGGATATTAAAATTGGAAGCGACTTCAAAGACTGTCAAGTGGAAAGCCCTCATTTCACAAATTAAGGAATTAAGGTTACAGTTAAATAAAAAAGACCTAAAAACAGAACCAAAGACAGCCTCCAGATTTCTTACCCTCAAGTCTCCTGTTAGCATATCGAAAGAGAAAATATGATACACAAACACACACATAGCTTGATTCTACTGTAAGCAAACAGCTTCTTCATGGGCTGAAAAGGGGAAGCTGGGATCTCCCCTAAACAAAGGCCTATACTTGTATTTTTCAACCTATTAAGTGAACTAAGCATGGAGAGAGCCCTCAATGCTTTAACTTTAATGCCATCTCAGGTCTGGAATTTAAAGAGAGGGAATGAGCTTGGCTTCTGGGACTTAAGTGTCAATTTGAATTTTCTGTCATTTAATTTCAGATCCTAGCTCACCATCAGTGAAGTCCAGCCTACGTACTTGTAACTATTAACCTTTCTAAAAGTTTTCATTGCATTGGTAAAGCTCCAGAAATGGATGACGGTAGTGACTGCACAATATTGTGATCGTACTTAATCCCACTAAACTGTTCACTTTAAATTAGAAAATTTGTATTTTTATCGCAATAAAAAACCGTAAGAAACCTTAAGGAAAGGTGGAAAATAATTAACTTGTAATGTGAAAACATGCACAACACATATTTATGGAAAGATGTGTGACTGGGAGAAAAAAGTTTTTAACCTCTTTTTTTTTTTTTTTTTTTTTTGAGACGGAGTTTCGTGCTTGTTACCCAGGCTGGAGTGCAATGGCACGATCTCGGCTCACCGCAACCTCTGCCTCCTGGGTTTATCTCTTTATCTAAAAAATACTCCTCATTTTCCTACGGTTTGGGTGCCTCTCAGACCTCCATCTGTTATTCAACTTATAATTGGCTCTGTTTTCCATTTCCCATGCTCCACCCCCTCATACACACACACAACACATTCCTTTTCTAACTCCCTACATTTATTCACTCTCCCTTCTTGGAATCTTGGTCTCTACTCTTTAAAGGCCTGACAATCTGATTCGATTTTATTCATCCAGTGATTCATTCTCTTCCAGTCCATCCATTCTTAAAATATTTTTATACCTAATACCATGTACTAAGCATACTTTGGGAGAATATAATAGATGTGGTTTTCCATTATCCTGGAGTTTATAATTCAGTAGGCTAAGATAGTAAATAAAAGCAGTCTAGTTACCAATATGACTAAGAGAAAGGTTGTCATAGGGGAACAATACTCTAGATTCCTTGCATATTTATAAGGAAGTGAGAGAATATGGTCCTAAATAGACAGTATATGTTGTTGGGGCACTGGATTCTCTGGCTGAACTCAGCTTTCAGCTATGCAAGAGATCCTTCTGCTGACTCAACAGTTTGGGTTCCAGTTTCTGACACCTACCTCAAGCCAGATTTCGAATGATTTCCAAGCAAGTATATCCTAGATTAGTATTCTTTTTATTTTCATTTTATTTATTTATTTATTTATTTTTATTTTTTTGAGACGGAGTTTCACTCTTTTTATGGAGTGCAATGGCGCGATCTCGGCTCACTGCAACCTCCGCCTCCTGGGTTCAAGCAATTCTCCTGCCTCAGCCTCCCGAGTCGCTGGGACTACAGGTGCGTGCCACCATGCCCAGCTAATTTTTGTATTTTTAGTAGAGACAGTGTTTCACCTTGTTGACCAGGATGGTCTTGATCTCTTGACCTTGTGATCCACCTGCCTCGGCCTCCCAAAGTGCTGGCATTATAGGCGTGAGCCACTGTGCCCAGACATTTTTTTTTTTTTAATTTTAATTTTTTGAGACAGTCTCACTCCATCACCCGGTCTAGAGTGCAGTGGCACGATCTCAGCTCACTGGAACCTCCTCCTCTCAGGTTCAAGTGATTCTCCTGCTTCAGCCTCCTGAGTAGCTGGGACTACAGGTGTGCACCACCACCCCCAGCTAATTTTTGTATTTTTGGTAAAGACAGGGTTTCACCATGTTGGCCAGGCTGGTCTTGAACTCCTGACCTCAGGTGATCCACCCACCTTGGCCTCCCAAAGTGCTGGGATTACAGGCATGAACCACCACACCCAGCCTCTAGATTGGTATTCTGATCACTGCTCTGCAGATGTTAAATGATGTGCTATGAAGTGCTCTACTCTGAATTAGATTTAAAGAACATTAGGATTAACAAAGTTAAGCAAATGTCTTTACTGCAATACTTCTAAATGGCCTTTAATCTTCTAATATGCATTCTAAATCTAGAGAGGCGTATAACCTGTATGGTTTCCCAACCTATTTGACCACAGAATTTTTATTCCCTGTGGGGCATCACTAGATAGGGATTCTGCAGAACCAATCTAAACCATTCTAAAGATATACTAGAGTTACAAAGAGAAGTGGTTTAATAGTGTCAAAATCTGGAACTGATACTTGGTAAAAGGGTCAAATATGCGCACCTCAAGTAACTATAGTCCATTTTATCTTTCTAATGCCATTTTCTCAGTTTAAAATCCTATAGAAGTCTGAAAATAGGAGGTATTCAAATACAGGATACACATTTAATACCTTGTACTAAATGTATTAAGTACATCCAAGTAAGTCCTCAAGAGAAAATCAGCTGAGGTTTGCACCTTAAGGCTGCTATTACCTGGGCCAAGTATGTTGCATGAGAAGTTTTAGGGTTTCCAATATCTTCAATCTGGCTTCCTCCTCAGGTCCATCATAAACCTCCAGATAACCAATGATGACTCTCTCCAGCCTCTTCAAGTGCCGGACAGTTAGGATCCCCAACCTAAAGATGAAAGAAAATATGACACCAGTGCAGTGGCTCATGCCTGTAATCCCAGCACTTTGGGAGGCTGAGGTGGGAGGATTGCTTGAGGCCAGGAGTTTGTGACCAGCTCAGGCAACATAGCAAGATCCTGTCTCTATAAATTAATAACAAATAAAAACCCATGGACTCACCTCTTCACAAAAGCCGGCAGGTTTCTTGCATAGGTCCTGCGTAAAAGAAGGCGGTGCTCTGGCTCCATGTGAGTCAGGATCAGCTGCAGGACCTCATCACAATGGGTGGTGGGTCGAGCTCCATCTCCTTTCCAGTGCACGGTTTTCTCCAGGATGGGGAATAAATCCAGCAGGCACAGGAGCACAGCCTAGGAGGAAGGAATGGAAGGACACTGCATAGTTCATCCATTTGCATTTATAATACTCATTGACTTTTCTAGAACTTCATTAATCTACTGACCTTAGGGACCATACCATAGAATTCTAAGATACTAGTAATAATATATGAAATACCTATTACTTTACATTTTCAAACTTTTTTACATTCTTAATTTCCATCTAGCAGTGCATGGTGGCTCATTCCTGTAATCCCAGCACTTTGTGAGGCTCAGGCCAGCGGGTCATGAGGTCAAAAGATTAAGACCATCCTGGCCAACATGGTGAAACCCCATCGCTACTAAAATTAGAAAAATTAGCTGGGCATGGTGGCGTTCCCCTGTAGTCCCAGCTACTTGGGAGGCTCAGGCAGGAGAATCACTTGAATTTGGGAGGTGGAGGTTGCAGTGAGCCAAGATCACGGCACTGCACTCCAGCTTAGTGACAGAGTGAGACTCTGTCTCAAAAAAAAAAAAAAAAAATCTCCATCTGACAGTCTCAAGTCAATACATTTTCCTCAGGACCATTCTTTGCTAATTTGTAAAATGGGAAAAATAGCAGAGCTGGGACTTGAACCCACTTTAGGAATCTAAGTCTATCATCACTATGTCACTAAGTCTAAGTGACTTAGTGATACATGATATTTACACATTTTTTTTTTTTTTTGAGCCAGAGTCTCACTCTGTTGCCCAGGCTGGAGTACAGTGGTGCAATCTCAGCTCACTGCAACCTCCACTTCTTGGGTTCAAGTGAGTTTTGTGCCTTAGCCACCTAAGTAGTTGGGACTACAGGTATGCACCGCCATGCCTGGCTAACTTTTGTGTGTGTGTGTGTGTGCGTGCGCACACACACACACACACACACATATTTTTTTTTTTTGAGATAGAGTCTTGCTTTGTTGCCCAGGCTGGAGTGCAATGGCAGTCTCGGCTCACTGCAACTTCTGCCTCCCGGGTTCAAGTGATTCTCCTGCCTCAGCCTCCTGAGTAGCTGGGATTATAGGCACATGCCACCACACCCAGCTTATTTTTGTATTTTTAGTAGAGATGGGGTTTCACCATTGGCCAGGCTGGTCTCAAACTCCTGACTTTGTGATTTACTCAGTCAGCCTCCCAAAGTGCTGGGATTATAGGCATGAGCTGCCGCACCTGACCCAACTTTTCTATTTTTTAGTAGAGACAGGGTTTCACCATATTGGCCAGGCTGCTCTCGAACTCCTGGCCTCAAGTGATCCATCCGCCTCCGCCTCCCAAAGTGCTGGGATTACAGGTATGAGCCAATGCTCTCAGCCAATATTTACACATACTTTTAATAAAACTGCTCCTAAACAGAATCTAAGAATGTTCCAAATTTGGGTCAAATTTGATGACCCTACCTGCTGAAGTCGCAGTGTCTAAGCCAGGGGTTTCTAATCTTTAGGCTTCCCTGGGCCACACTGGAAGAATTGTCATGGGCCACACATAAAATACACTACACTAATGATAGCTGATGAGCTTAAAAAAAAAGAAAAAAAAAATCTTATAACATTTTAAGAAAGTTTACAAATTTGTGTTGGGCTGCTGCGTCAATACCATCTTGGGAAGCATGCGGACCGCAGGTTGGACAAGCTTGGTTAAGGTACACCCTTTTAACTTTCCTGGGACCTTTGGTTTTTCTCTTGGTGTTTTAGATTTTTAAAATTTCTTTTCTCTACCACCTTAAGAACCCCGCCCTCTCTGGCTGTTACTATCTGGATTCTTAACACCCAGTATTTAAAATACTGCTTAAAAAGAAAAAGAGGCTGGGCACAGCAGCTCACACGTGTAATCCCAGCATTTTGGGAGGCTGAGGTGAGCAGAACACTTGAGGTCTCAAACACTGAGTTTGACACCAGCCAGGGCAACATGGCAAAACCCCGTATCTGCTAAAAATACCAAAATTAGCCAGGCATGGTGGCACGTGCCTGTAATCCCAGCTACTCAGTTGGCTGAGGCAGGAGGATCCCTTGAACCTGGGAGGCGAAGGTAGAAATGAGCCAAGATCGTGCCATCATACTCTGGCCTGGGCAACAGAGTGAGACTCCATCTCAAAAAAATAAATAAAATAAAAAATAAAAAGAAAGGCTGCAGGCTAGTGAGGGGAAAAGGAGAGAAGTAAGGCATAAAAAAGAAACAAGGTTGCTTTCACCTCTAATGTTACACAATTTGTTTCTCCTCTCTCTGGAGTTTCTTTTCCCCTCCTGAGAAACTTTTACTTACTCATCCTTCATAATGATAAATATTACCTCCTTCCCAAAGCCTCCTAAAGTCACCCCAAACCTGGTTAGTTACCTACTGCTTGATAACCACTGCACTATCCACAGAGTTTAACTCTTGTTGCCCAGGCTGGAGTGCAATGGTGTGATCCTGGCTCACCGCAACTTCCACCTCCCAGGGTCAAGTTATTCTCCTGCCTCAGCCTCCTGAGTAGCTGGGATTACAGGCATGTGCCACCACACCCGGCTAATTTTGTATTTTTAGTAGAGATGGTGTTTCACCATGTTGGTCAGGCTGGTCTTGAACTCCCAACCTCAGGTGATCCGTCCACCTTGGCCTTCCAAAATGCTGGGATTACAGGCGTGAGTCACCATGCCCAGCTACCCACTGCACTTTATACAAATCTCTTCTAACGCAGTTATTATTTTGTACTATATATATATATCTTTGGAGAGACAGTTATATAAATATGAATATGTACTTACAAATTTACATATGTAAATATCTAAGTACATATTCATATTTATATAACTGTCTCTCCAAAGATTTTCTTTTTTTTTTTCGAGACAGAATCTGACCCTGTCACCCAGGCTGGATTGTGCAATGGCACAATCTCGGCTCACTGCAACCTCTACCTTCTGGGTTCAAATGACTCTCCTGCCTCAGTCTCTCAAGAAGCTGGGATGACAGGTGCCTGCCATCATGCCCAGCTATTTTTTTGTATTTTTAATAGAAATGGGGTTTCATCATGTTGGCCAGGCTGGTGTCGAATTCCTGACCTAGTGATCTGCTAGCCTCGGCCTCCCAAAGTGCTGGGATTACAGGTGTGAGTCACCGTGCCTGGCCCAAAGATTTTCTTAAAAGCCAAAAAAAAAACCTACGTGATTCACATACTCTTGGGACCATGTCTGTTGGCTGAAATAATAAATGACATTCCAGTGTCTAACATGCAAGGAGTGTCAAGTGTGTGTGCTAATGTAAGGCAAAACAGAAGAACACTTAAATTAATAAAAATAGACCTTTTCAGACATAAAGCTGTCCCCGGAGTATGAGACTTTTTTTTTTTTTTAAATTGAGATTGAGTCTCACTCTGTCACCTGGGCTGGGGTGCAGTGATGTGATCTCAGCTCACTGCAACCTCCGCCACCAGGGTTCAAATGATTCTCGTGCCTCAGCCTCCCACGTAGCAGGGACTACAGGTGCACACCATCATGCTCAGCTAATTTTTTTGTATTTTTAGTAGAGATGGGGTTTTGCCATATTGGTCAGGCTGGTCTCAAACTCCTGACCTCAGGTGATCTGCCAGCTTCAGCCTCCCAAAGTTCTGGGATTACAGTGTGAGCCACCACCCCTGGCCCAAAGTAATATATGATTGACTCAGATGAAGAAAAAACACTGGCTTACCTGTGGAGATTCAGGAATGTGGATGCCTGCTTGGTGCTGAGATATTTCTAATTTGACAACACGCGGCCGGACGCGGTGGCTCATGCCTGTAATCCCAGCACTTTGGGAGGCCGAGGCGGGTGGACACGAGGTCAAGAGATCGAGACCATCCTGGTCAACATGGTGAAACCCCGTCTCTACTAAAAATACAAAAACTTAGCTGGGCATGGTGGCACGTGCCTATAATCCCAGCTACTCAGGAGGCTGAGGCAGGAGAATTGCCTGAACCCAGGAGGTGGAGGTTGCCGTGAGCCGAGATTGCGCCATTGCACTCCAGCCTGAGTAAATAACAGCGAAACTGCGTCTCAGAAAAAAAAAAAAAAAAAATTTGACAACAGGCTTTAGTTATTATCCTCACTTTCCAAGACAGAAAAATGTCTCTCAATTACTCCTACTCACACAATGCAACTCAAAGTTAGAGAATCCAGACACCGTTATGAACAAATCATATTATTACCTGAACGAGGTGGTGCTCTGGTGTGTACAGGTGGTTGAAAATGGCATGGTATAAAACCTGCGCTCTGTTATACTGGAGCAAATCAGCAGCTGGCTGCAACCAGACAAATTATCAAATTAAAAGAATAGTTTCCCAAGATTGGCAAATGCTGACTGTCTTTGAAATTGGATTATGGGTATGAAGAAGTGAAGAACATGTCATCCCAAAATATGCCAGATTGGTATAGTGATTATTTCGAGTTGAAAATACTGCAGAAACTGTAGATTCAGAAAGGGTGAGCTGACCCGTCTCTTTCTGCACACAGCAAGTGATTAAAGATTCCTCTGAGTCAAATATGCTTTCCATACCAGGGTGAAAACAGCCCTTATCACCAGAGACTTGGAATGGAAGGCTACAATGGACCTAAGTAAATAAACTGAACAAAGAAACCTTATATTCCACCTAGCCTTTATCACCCCCTACCCCCAACCATATATTTCCTACTGACTACCCCAGAGCCAAGTATGGTGACTTACACCTGTAATCCCAGCACTTTGGAAGGCCAAGGTGAGAGGCTCACTTAAGGCCAAGTTCAGACCAGCCTGGGCAACAGAGCAAGACCCTGTCTCTACCAATTAAAAAAAAAAAAAATTTAAAAATTAGTGTGGCCTGGTGGTGCATGCCTATAGTCCAAGCTACTTGAAAGGGTGATGTGGGAGGATCGCTTACGCCCAGAAGGTTGAGGCTGCAGTGAGCTATGATTGTGCCATTGCACTCCAGCCTGGATAACAGAGCAAGACCCTGCCTCAAAAAAAAAAAAAAAAAAAAAAAAGGAAAATCTGGCTAGGAAAGGGGTAGTAAAAAAAAGAAAAATGTATCATTCTTTGTCTAAAAAGTATATTGCCTTGGCCACTTCTTCAGACTTCTCTCTCTTGTGAAGATCCCCACGTACATGTAAAACTAATAAAATGTGTATAGTTTCCTCCTGTTAATCTGCCTGTTGTCAATTTGGTTTCTAGATCCAGGAAAAGAGCCCACTAAGAGATAAAAAGGGGGCTGAGGCCAGATGTGGTGGTTCATGCCTGTAATCAATCCCAGCACTTTGGGAGGCCCAGACTGGTGAATTGCTTGAAGCCAAGAATTCGAGACCAGCCTCGCCAACATGGTGAGACCCCATCTCCACAAAAAATACAAAAAAAATTTAGCTGGGCATGGTGGTGTGTGGCTGTAATCCCAGCTACTCTAGAGGCTGAGGCACAAGAATCATTTGAACCCAGGAGGCAGAGGTTGAAGTGAGCTAAGATCGCACCACTGTACTCCAGCCTGGGCAACAGAGCAAGAGTCTGCCTCAAAAATAAAAAAATAAAAAGGTGGGGGGTCAGGGTTGGAGGTGATCTCTGGCACTCCCCTACAGGTACACGGAGATTAATTATATCATTCTCTCTACTTCTGTGTGTATTTTAAAAGCTCCATAATACAAGGTTTAAAAAAAAATTTTCCTTTGAGTAATAGCTTCCACATTTAGATGGTTCCTTTCAGTTTCTGATTTTGTTTTGTTTTCCTCCTTGAAAGTCAACTGTAGGCCGGGCATGATGGCTCAGCTCTGTAACCCCAGTATTTTGGGAGGCCGAGATGGGTGGATCACCTGAGGTCAGGAGTTCAAGACATATGGCCAATATGATGAAACCCTATCTCTACTAAAAATACAAAAATTAGCTAGGGATGGTGGTGCTACTAGGGAGGGAGTCCCAGCTACAAGGGAGGAATCCCAGCTACTAGGGAGGCTGAGGCAAGAGAATCACTTGAACTCAGGACGTAGAGGCTGCAGTGAGCCGAGACTGCACTCCAGCCTGGGCAACAGAGCAATAATGTCTCAAAAAAAGAAAAAAGAAAGTCGATTGTTAACCAGTTCTCAAGATCTGGCTATTCTGTTGATAATGACCCATGCCTTCCTGTTTCTTCTGTAATTTTTTTTTTTTTTTTAGTTATTACATTACCTATGGGATACAACTTCTACCAGGTTAACAGAGGAAAAATATAAGCAAAAAATACAAATAAATAAAGTAGAATGACTTAGCATTACCAGAAAGCCAGTTAATAAAAGATATAAGCAAAAATATAATAGTGATATAATGAATGAAGAACAGCCAGGAATGACTCAGTCTTGTCAATATGGATGGCAAGGCAGAGGTTGCTTACCACATTAAGCACTATGTGATGGAGACAGTGTACACCCAGGATTTTGTTCTCAGTCTGATAATCATCTGAGATGAGCAATGATGCGGGAAGTACCCTTTCCAGATATTGGCTCAGCCAGGGCCGAGTGACCTGTTGCAGAGTCCATGAGAAAACATGTTTGATGGCAGGGTTATTCTTCCAGGATTCCCTAAGTGGAGACATGAAACTACATTAAGTGACATGGTGATAAGTAGCAAAAAAAAAAAAAAAAAAAAAAAAGATTTCAAGCTAAACAGAGTATTTTCATGTCTTTGAAAAAACTACATCGCACATAAGATAACTCTTGATTCTATAACATACATTTTAAGATTTGGATTAAAATAACTTCCGTAACTTCCACCAAATACTTAATCACCCAGGGCTTTGAATCTAAAGCCTATCCAATGAAAAGAAGCCAATTAAACCAGAGCTACATAAAGGACTTATGGTGATGGACGGTGAAGGTGTACTAAGAAGGGAGAGAGAAGTAAAGGAAATGTATTAGTATTATTACACTAAGGAAAAGAATGAATCCATACTTGAACACCTGTTAATAGCTAATAAACAAGTGAGTGTACACATGACTTAACTAATCTTCAAAGTAATTACTATGTAACAGGTATATTATCTTTATTTATTTATTCTTACATAGTCTTGCCTGCAGCCCAGGCTGGAGTGCAGTGGCACCATCACTACAAACTCTGCCTCCCGTGCTCAACCAATTATCCTGCCTCAGCCTCCTGAGTAGCTGAGATTACACACCTGCATCACCAAGCCCAAATCATTTTTGTATTTGTAGTACAGACCGGGCTTTGCCATGTTGCTCAGACTAGACCCCAACTCGGGGCTTCAAGTGATCAGCCAGCCTTGGCCTCCCAAAGTATTGGGATTACAGGTATTAGCCACCACACCCGGCCAAGTCTATTATCTTTACATTAGAAATAACAGATTCAGAGAGCTGTCTAATCTGGTCCTATCCAGAGTAATAAATGAAGCACAAAATTCAAAATCAAGCCTTTTAACTGATCAAGACTGGTAAAATAACAATTACAGATACTTTTTCTCTCCTCACTCCAGTGATAACAAAGTAGCAAGTGGAAACTCACTGAAAGAACTTTAGCTAGAGGCTTTTTACTTTTTATCCTAAACACAGCTTCTCTAGCTGATAGCCATCCTTATCTAGTAATCAGTGATGAGACTCAAGATCCCCAAGTCTAAATTCAAACCATAAGTTTAAATCCTCTCCAAATCTCCCATCCAATTTCTAGTAATTTGTAATTTTTTTTTTTTTTTTTTTTGAGACAGTCTTGCTCTGTCACCCAGGCTGGGAGTGCAGTGGCCCGATCTCAGCCCACCACAACCTCTGCCTCCCGGGTTCAAGCGATTTTCCTGCCTCGGCCTCTGGAGTAGTTGGAATTACAGGCATCCACCACCATGCCTGGCTAATTTTAGTAGACAGGGTTTCACTATGTTGGCAAGGCTGGTCTCAAACTGCTGACCTCAAGTGATCCACCTGCTTCGGCCTCCCTATATGCTGAGATTATAGGTATGAGCCACGCACCTGGCCATAATTTGTAACAATAATAATTATTTTTCTTGAAATGGAGTTTCACTCTTGCTGCCCAGGCTGGAGTGCAATGGCGTGATCCTGGCTTACCGCAACCTCTGCCTCTCAGGTTCAACTGATTCTCCTGCATCAGCCTCCCAAATAGCTGGGATTACAGGCATGCACCACCACATCCAGATAATTCTGTATTTTTTTTTAGTAGGGACAAGGTTTCTCCATGTTGGTCAGGCTGGTCTGAAACGCCCAACCTCAAGTGATTTGCTCGCTTTGCCCTCCCAAGTGATTTGCTCGCCGAGGCTTCGCCTTGGTTCACGCCTGAAATCTCAGTACTTTGGGGGGCCGAGGCAGGTGGATCACTTGAGGTCAGCAGTTCGAGACCAGCCTGGCCAACATGGTGAAACCCTGTCTCTATTAAAAATGCAAAAAAATAGCCAGGCGTGGTGTCGGGTGTCCTCTAACTCCAGGTACTCGGGAGGCTGAGGCAGGAGAATCGCTTGAACCCAGGAGGCGGAGGTTGCAGTGGGCCAAGATCGAGACATTGCACTCCACCCTGGACAACAAGAGTGAAACTCTGTCTCAAAGATAAGTAAATAAATAAAAATAAAAAAGCTGTGAGGCTCAAGTCGGTGGCAAAGGACAGGAGTACTCACTTATTCAAGTTGGGTTTGAGAAGCCCTAATATCACTGAAAGTCTCCCTTTCTCATCTTCCTTTTCTCCACGTAGGAATCCTGCTACAGAACCGCATTCCGTAACTTGAAGCAGTAAGGTGAGGACCTCCCTAGCAACTTCCCGAGATCTCGGAGTGGTCCATGGTTGCTCCAAGCTATGTGTGACGGCAAAAATACAAACGGGTCCTGCCAAGTGATGCAAGCCTGTCTGCCATGCAGGGCCGACCAGAGAATTCTTAGCAGTCTCAGCTTTCCCCAATAGCTTAAGAAACAGTAACCCAACTGTGGCTGCTTTCTCGGCCACTTCCGAGTGCCTAGCACCTCCACCTTCCTCTTCCTTGGGTGGGGCTGCATACTGCTCCAGGGCTTTTGCCACCTTCCCCAGTGTCTCTAACATTCCGCGGAGCTGGGCACCACTCCCCTCAAATAACCTAACACATTCGGTGGCTTCTATTAAATCACCGAGGTCTTTAAGAGCTACATCTCTTGCGTTGCCTCGTCGTGCCTCCGGGCCGGTAAAACAGTGTAAAATTTTGGAGAAGGCCTGTTCAAGGACCGGAGGAGATATCTCCCCGCACAAAGAAGAGTCTTCCTGCGATGGGGTTTCCTGAGCGTTGTCAAGCTCCATTCCTGACTGTAGTACCAGAAGGCTGGTCTCTCCCACAGGATAAGAATGGAGGCGGGGAGGGATCCGCTGAAGAGAGACGAAGCGATCACCCAAAGAGAACTAAAATCAAATCAAAGAAAATGGAGAGACGTCTTGGAGGAAGGCGCGAGTATGACCGTAATAACAATAAAGAGAAAGGAAGGAAAGCAAGAAAGGGAAAAGGGACTCTCGGGGATTAAAAGAGTATTATACTTGTAATAGTAACGTTAAAAAACTACTATTGCCTTTCTGAAGACTAAAAAGAAAAAAAAACTTAAAAGTTTAAAGAAATAAACTTCTAAGCAATGTCACCAACGCGACCAACACCAGGTACCTGCAGCCGCTCGTGCACCCCAGCGTCTACAGGATCCGGACCTAGCTCATATTGCTGCCGCAAAGCACAAGGCTAGCTTCCGCCAGCACTGCGGCAACGCCTTCTCATTTCACGACGTACGGTCGTAAAGCTATTAAGATCCAGACTCGGGAAAAATGACAGAAAGGTGGAATTATGGAGAATAAATTTACATATATAATGATCCGCTGGCTAATTGTATTTCTGTTTTTCTTTGCTAAGGTAGAAACAAAAGAATCACCACAGAATTTCAGTGTGACTTTGAAAATATCCAGGATTTTATATGTGACGACCGGACGTATTGCATTACGGTAGTCACCCTATCTGTAAAATCAGTGGCACATTCTTGGAGCTTCTTAACATGCAGCCTTGCGCTGATCCTTTTGTAGTTCATGAGCATGATGATTGGGTGTTCACACGCTTGCGTGAGATGTGCTACCCTTAAACCTTGTTACGACGTCGGCACATTACCCATCTGACCTGAACTTAGAGGATCATTATTATTTCGTTTGTGGTGTGTGAATGGACCTTAATAAGCTTGACGATCTTGTGTTTACTTTTTGCCGGTTCTTTCTCGCTGTAACTATAGTGTGCATGGATCGGTACTCTTACGTTGTCTAACTAAACGCTCCGTTGTAACGTTTTCTAATTCCTTTAACTTTTTAGGCTTGGAAGGTACCTGCGCAGGTTGGTTACGTGGGTATATCGTCTTTGGGGTGCGTTTAGCGCGTTTTCAGTGCCCCTTCTAGTAGGCCACAGTGTCTGCTGTTTCCTTTTTTATGTCCATGTCTTCCGAATGTTAAGTTGCCACTTGGAGTGAGAACATGGGGTATTTGGTTTTCTGTTCAATGCCATACATTAGCTGGTCTCAGGAGCTAGCGTTTTAAAGCCTGTAGCCATAAGCGTTTGAAAATTCAAATTCTGCTCAGATGTGCTTTATGGAGTAGGGAAAAAAAAAAAAAATCAAATTCTAGCGACAAGGTAAGAGCCTCCAGCCGACATCTGGAACAGCCCCGAGGGAGGCAGGTCGTCTGGGTGGCGGATCCGGCTTGGGCCCGCCTCGCGGGTGTGGGCGCCTGGTGCGCGAGGACAGACGAGCGCAGTCTTAGACGTGGGCGGCAGGCGGCGCCCGGCACCGGCCAGGGGAGCCGGAGGCTGCGGGCTCGGGCCCCTGCGGGTGTAGGAAGCTGCCGCGTTTGATTGGGTTTAGAAAAGGCACGAGAAGAGTCGCGCCTGTGCGACCGCCCATGTTAGCAACCCCCACCCCCACCAACGCCGCGTCGGCAGTGCTTGTTCCCCGTTCCTGCGCCTTCCTGGAGGGTGGAATTGCGTCCGATTGACCTTCAGTTCCCGAGGGGCCCGTCGCATTTAAGAACTTGTGACTCCCATAGCTTCCACGGGTCGTAGGAGCCCGAGGAAGCCAACTTCATTTGTGCCACTGCACAGGCGGGAGCCTTGGATACTGGGAGGGGTGGCGCGAGAGAGACGTGTCGGCCACTGCTCGGAGAGGGACCCTTATTCAGCTTCTAGGAGTCCTCGCGCAACCAGGGCCCCAAAAGTCCAGAGAAAGCCCTGCGGGGTATTCTGACCCAGGGTAGGGTGAGGGGTGTGTGCGCGCAGGGGCGAGGGAGGGGGGGCGTGTCACGTGTGCTTTGTCCTCGCGAGGAGGTGGTCATGGAGCAGGGGGCATACTGTACTTTCGTCCCACCTTGGAGAGGGCACGCGCTTCCTGGTGTAGTACTTGCGACTGTCCCATCTGCGGCATCTTGCTTCCTACTCGCCTGCCCTTCTTTCCTTCTTTTGCTGTGACCTTGGGCAAAAGTTTGGTAACCTCTCTGTGCTTTAATTTCTGTTTTTTGTTTGTTTGTTTACTTATTTTTGCTGTGTGCCCTTGGGCAAAAGTTTGGTAACCTCTCTGTGCTTTAATTTCTATTTATTTATTTACTTACTTAAGACGGAGTCTCACTCTCTCAGGCTGGAGTACAGTGGCGCAATCTCGGCTTACTGCAACCCCCGCCTCCCAGATTCAAGCGATTCTCCTGCCTCAGCCTACCTAGTAGCTGGGATTACAGAGGTACGCCACCACTCCGTGGCGCAAAATACAATAAATACAAAAAATACAATAATTTGTTGTATTTTTAGTAGAGATGGGGTTTCACTGTGTTAGCCAGGATGGCCTTGATCTTCTGACCTCGTGATCCTCTCACCTCGGCCTCCCAAAGTGCTGGGATTACAGGCGTCAGCCACTGTGCCCGGCTCTTTGTATTTTTTATTTAATTAAAAAAATTTTTGTATTAGAGAAAGGGTCTTGCTCTGTCACCCACGCAGGAGTGCAGTGGTGTCATCATATCTCACTGCAGCCTTGAACTCCTGGATTCAAGCCATCCTCCCGCCTCTGCCTCCCAGTAACTGGGACCACTGGCGAGCCCCATCATGCCCTGCTAATTTTTATCTAATATTTTTGTAGAGATGGGGTTTCACTATGTTACCAAGGCTGATCTCTAGCTCCTGCCTTGAGCAACCCTTCCGCCTTGGCCTCCTAAAGCGCTAGGATTACAGATGTTAGCCACTTCGCCTCCCAGGTGCCTTAATGTATTTTTCTTTTCTTTTTTTATTTTTCTTTCTTTTTTTAAAGAGGGAGTCCGGCTCTGTGGCTCAGGCTGGAGTGCAGTGGTGCAATCTTGGCTCACGGCAACCTCCGCCTACCCAGTTCATGCGATCCTTTCTCCTACCTCAGCCACCGAGTAACTGGTATTACAGGCTAGTGCCACCACGCCCAGCTAATTTTGTATTTTTAGTAACACGGAGTTTTACCATGTTGGCCAGGCTGGTCTTGAACTCCTAACCTCAAGCGATTCACCCGCCTTGCCCACCCAAAGCGCTGCGATTACAGGCGTAATCCACCGTGCCCAGCCACCTTAATTTCTTTGTCTGAAAAATGCAGGTAGTAATAATTCGTACCACTTAGGAATGTGGTGAGAAAGGAGTTACTTATTTGTAAACTGCTTAGAACAATATCTGGTCAGCAGAAAGTTCTACATAGGTGTTGGCTCATGTTAAACCACAGCTCCTGTGTTAAGTTTAAGTTACATTTCCTCTTTCCAGGGTAATTTTGTGGTTCAGACCCTCCCTCTCTACCTCTTTCATTTGGCTTTCCCTTCTCTGACCAATTGGTGGCACTCACTATTTTCTAAGCAATTTCAACCACTGGTAACCATTTCCTCCCTAGGGGATTCTCCTGATTGCAGGCCCTAGTGGAAGCAAGACGCCAATCAATAGACAGTTATTGTATCCCTCCTGTGTGCCACTGTCTCTTCCCTGCTCCGTGTGTTCCCTGTGTTAAGTGGACCCATGCTATTACTTCTTATAAGGAAAGCACTTGTATTGTGGAGATCTCCCCATCTGCACATCTGAGTTTCCTGAAGCCAGAGACCGTGTCTTTATTCTCAGTGCCTGGCACGATTTGATCATGCAATAAATGTTTGTTGAGCCCACACGTCTGTCCACAGAGGACTGGCTGAATAAGCTACGTATATCCACACAATGCAGTTTTGTGCAGCCATATAGAGGAAAGAGAACCATCTCTGTGGACTGCCTTGGAAATCTAGGATGTATTGTTAAGTGAAAGAAGAGGGCAGAGGCCATGTGTATGTTGCCTTTATTTTTATTTTGCCTGCTTTTCACATGTGTTGAAATGTTGCTTTTCTTGTGAGAAAGATGGGGAAATAGAGATAATGATGTGTGAATTTGCTTACAAGTTAAAGAAGCAATAGAGTGTAAATTTACAAATTAATGGCTGAGCGTGGTGGCTCATGTCTGTAATCCCAGCACTTTGGGAGGCTGAGGCAGGTAGACCACGAGGTCAGGAGTTGAAGACCAGCCTGAACAACATGGTGAAACCCCACCTCTACTAGAAATATGAAAATTAGCTGGGTGTGGTGGTGAGCACCTGCAATCCCAGCTACTCAGGAGGCTAAGGCAGGAGAATTGCTTAAATCCGGGAGGTGGAGGTTGCAGTAAGCTGAGATCGCCCCACTGCACTCCAGCCTGGGTGACAGTGCGAGACTCTGCCTCAAAAAAAAAAAAAAATTATAAACTAATAAAATGGTTACATATAAGAAAAGAATGGGGTGAAGGAAATAGGAATGGAAGCTAGATTTCTCTGTATACACTGTATTTAATAGCTTCAATTTTGGATTCATGTAAATGTTTTACTTTTTTTTTAGACAGAGCCTCACTCTGCCACCCAGGCTGGAGTGCAGCGGTGTGATCTCAGCTCACTGAAGCCTCTGCCACCCTGGGTTCAAGGGTGATTCTCCTGCCTCAGCTTCTGGAGTACCTGGGATTACAGGCACCTTCCACCACGCCCAGCTAATTTTTGTAGCTTTAGTAGAGATGGGATTTCACCATGATGGCCAGGCTGGTCTGGAGCTCATGACCTCAGGTGATCTGCCTGCCTGGGCCTCCCAAAATGCTGGGATTATAGATGTGAGCCACCGAGCCAGGCCACATAATTTTTTTTTTTTTTTTTAGGAACAAAAGCAGAGATTTATTGAAAACAAAAGTACACTCTGAAGGACAGGAGTGGGTCCAAGAGCCTACATAACTATTTTTTAAAAGAAAATAACAAAGCATTTCCTAAAAGAATCAAAGTGTACATTGAGTCACTGGCATAACCATACAGAAAAACAAGAAACTGTAAAGTGTGTTAATTTGACTCTATATTCTTAATGTGACAAAGCCTAAAAACAGAAAAAAAAAATGGCAAAGAAATCAACTGCATTTAATAATGGTATTGTAATAATACTAATGTTGTTGTTTAGGTGTATTTCCTTTGGTTTTTGTTTGTTTTTTGAGATGGCATCTCGCTCTGTCACCCAGGCTGGAGTGCAATGGGGCAATCTTGGCTCACTGCAACCTCTGCCTCCCGGTCTCAAGTGATTCTCCTGCCTCAGCCTCCCAACTAGCTGGAACTACAGGTGCCTGCTACCATGCCAGGCCAATTTTGTATTTTTATTAGAGATGGAGTTTCTCTATGTTGGCCAGACTTGTCTCGAACTCCTGACATCAAGTGATCCACCTGCTGTGGTCTCCCAAAGTGCTGGGATTACAGGCATGAGCCACCATGCCGGGCCTGGTTAGGTGTTATTACATGTGTCGTGTTATTGTGTATAATTTACATATGTATATAAAATAACAAATAGTATTGTTAGAAACCCAGATTTTCAGTTAAAGATAAAAGAGATACAAGTGTTAAATCAATGAAGTTAGGTATAAATTCTGTAATCTGACTGAGTCACATACTTGAATAAAAAAATTTGTAATCTGAAATTAGAATTGCCAATGTCAGTATGAATTTGTAATGAATTTTTCTCCTTCCACAATATATATATATCTCCTAGCTGTGTCCACTGAAAGGCCAAGAAGTAATGACAGTCTAATGGCCATGAGCCCCCTGAATGTCCAAATTGATAGTGTAAATGCTTCCCACTAAAAGGAACCAGTGAGGCTTTACGAAATGATTGATTTCAAAACTAGGGCAGGTGGAAAAAAAAAAAACTAGGGAAGGAATTGCACAAGGTGAGCCTGTAGCATTTTGTTATGCCCGAAAGCAAGGTAGCTATCAAATGCTGCTGAGGTTAGAGAAAACAAACAAATAAAAAAAGTCCCCCAAGGCCCTACAGTCAGGGATTACAGCACTGGTCTTGTAAAGGAGTAGTGATTGTGATGAAACAATATACACAAATCCACAAATTCAGAATGATACCAAAAAAAATCACTAAACATTCACCTTTGGATCTCTTAAGAAAACAAATGTTTATTTTGAAAATTGATATATAAGAGGGAAAAAAATCAAGCATCTATTCTTCTATTTCAGGGTATCCAAATTATTTGTAAGGGTAATAAATGTAACAGAATGGTGGAATTAGAAAGTCACTATTCATACCTCCTAATGAAACACTGAGACCATGCAACTATCATCCATTGTGATTACAATTACAAGGTGAAGGTTGATGGGGAACTTTATAACTTTATAACATCACTAAATGCAAGGCAGCCAGGTTCCAGGTACCTCTTAATGCAGTAAGGTAGGAAGTACACACCACCTATGAAATATTCTTGCCCAAAAAGGGACCCTAAATCTAATCAAATGTTTAGGTCTACTACCAAATGACAAGAAACATGGAGGGCAAAGAAACAAAAGACACTAAGAAATTTCATTGATTTTTTCAAGGATAAATAATAATCAGTCAAGCCAAGGGTGGGAACTGATATAGATTCAAAGTTTTAAGATATGTTCAACCAACAGTGTTGGATATTTTTTCCTTCCTTCCTTTCCTTCCTTCCTTCCTTGCTCTATTCCTCTTCCTTTCCTTTCCCCTCCCCTCCCCCTTCCCCTCCCCTCCCCCTTCCCCTCCCCTTCCCTCCCCCTTCCCCTCCCCTCCCCCTTCCCCTCCCCTCCCCTCCCCTCCCCCTTCCCCTCCTCCTTCCCCCCCTTCCCCTCCCCTCATCCTTCCTTTTTTTTTTTTCTGGCAAGACCTAGCTTTCTTGCCACCTCGACTTCCCAAAGTGCTGTGATTACAGCTGTGAGCCACTGTGCCCCACCAGATCTGATTTTCTTTTTCTTTTTTCTTGTCTTTCTTTCTTTTTTTTTTTTTTTGGAAACAGAGTCTCACTCTGTCACCCAGGCTGGAGTGCAGGGGCCCCATCTTGGCTCACTGAAACCTCTGCCTCCCGGGTTCAAGCAATTCTCCTGCCTCAGCCTCCCAGGTAGCTGGGATTATAGGCATGTGCCACTGTGCCCGGCTAATTTTGTGTTTTTAGTGCTGGGATTACAGGCATGAGTGAGCCATCATGCCCAGCCCAGATTTTACTTTTAATAAACAAATTGTAGGCCAAGTGCAGTGGCTGATGCTTGATCCCAGGAGTTCTAGACCAGTCTGGGCAACAAATGAGACTCTGTCTCTACAAAAAGATTAAAAAAAAAAAACACTCAATTTGTAAGAAGACATATTTAAGACAATCAGGGGGCCAGGCATGGTGGCTTACATCTGTAATCCTAGCACTTTGGGAGGCCAAGGCGGGTGGATCACCTGAGATCAGGAATTCAAGAACAGCATGACCAACATGGAGAAATCCCATCTCTACAAAATTAGCCAGACGTGGTGGTGCATGCTTGTAATCCCAGCTACTTGGGAGACTGAGGCAGGAGAATCACCTGAACCTGGGAGGTGGAGGTTGCAGTAAGCTGAGATCATGCCATTGCACTCCAGCTTGGGCAACAAGTGTTAAACTCCGTCTTAAAAAAAGAAAGACAATCAGAGAAATATGAACATAGATTAATTATTAGCGTGTTCAAATTTGTCATCTAGCAGAATATGTTGAGAGTTCAAGGAGGCTCTATTAACATTTGTGCTGGTACAAAGGTGTAGGTCGGGTGTGGTGGCTTACGCCTGTAATTCCAGCACTTTGGGAGGCCGAGGCAGGTGGATCAGGAGGTCAGAGATTGAGACCATCCTGGCCAACATGGTGAATCCCTGCTCTACTAAAAATACAAAAATTAGCTGGGCAAGGTGGAGTGCACCTGTAGTCCCAGCTATTTGGGAGGCTGAGGCAGGAGAATCACTTGGACCCAGGAGGTGGAGGTTGCAGTGAGCCGAGATTATGCCACGGCACTCCAGGCTGGCAACAGAGCGAGACTTGATCTCAAAAAAAAAAAAAGATGTAAACTGGATTTGTCCCAGGCAAACATGATTATCCTGGTATTACACGATTTTGTGGAATCATTGTTAATTTTTTAGATTGATAATGTTAGTACATTTATGTTTTTTTGAAAGCAGTTAGAAAAATAGTTCTGAAAAGTTATAGTCTCAGGACACTTTACCCTCCTAAAAATTATTGAGTCATACGCATTAGGATGGCTAAAATGAAAAACACTGAAAATAAATTTTGGCAAGGATGTAGAGAAATTGGAAGAGAAACTGGAATTCTCATACATTGCTGATTAAAATGTAAAATGGTGCAGCTGCTATGGAAAACAGTTTGACAGTTTCTTAGAAAGTTAATCATAGAGTTAGCCATATGACCCAGCAATTCTATTCCTAGATATATTGCCAAGAGAACTAAAAACATGTATTCATACAAAAACTTGGCTACAAATGTTCATAGCTGTACTATTTGTAATATCCAGTGGAAACAACCCAAAAGTCAACTGATGATTGGGTAAAGAAAATGTGATATATACACGCAATGGAATATTATTTAGCTATAAAAAGGAATGAAATTCTGACACATACGACAACATGGATGAACCTTAAAGACGTTATGCTAAGTGAAACAAGCCAGAAACAAAAGGCTACGTGTTGTTTGATTGCATTTACCTGAAATGCTCAGAATAGGCAAATCTGTAGAGTCAGAAAGTACATTAGTGGTTTCCAGGAGATAATGGGAGGGGACATTTAGAAGTGACCAGTAATGGGTATAGGGTTTTCTTTTGGGGTGATAAAAAAGTTTTGGAATTAGCTAGTGGCAGTGGCTGCCTACCCTTGCAAGTATACCAAGACCTACTGACGTGTACACTTTATTTTTTATTTTTTTTGAGACAGAGCCTCATTCTATTGCCCAGGCTGGAGTGCAGTGGTGCAATCTTGGCTCACTACAACCTCCGCCTCCCCAGTTCAAACAATTATCCTGCCTCAGCCTCCTGAGTAGCTTGGATTACAGATGCATGCCAGCACACTCAGCTAATTTTTGTATTTTTTAGTAGAGACAAGGTTTTGCCATACTGGCCAGGCTGGTTTCAAACTCCTGGCCTCAAGTGATCTGCCCACACTGGCCTCCCAAAGTGCTGGGATTACAGATGTGAGCCAGCATGCCCAACCATGAGGTGTACATTTTATTTATTTTTTATTCTTCTTGATTTTTGTTTCTGAGATGTACATTTTAAACTAGTGAAGCTGCCAGGCACAGTGGCTCACGACTGTAATCCCAGAATTTTGGAAGCCTGAGGTGGTTGGATCACCTGAGTTCAAGAGTTCAAGTCCAGCCTGGCCAACATGGTAAAACTTCATCTCTACTAAAAATACAAAAATTAGCTGGGCATGGTGGCATGCCTGTGTAATCCCAGCTATTTGGGAGGCTGAGGCAGGAGGATTGCTTGAACCTAGGAGGCAGAGGTTGCAGTGAGCTAAGATCATGCCACTGCTCTCCAGCCTGGGCAACAGAGTTAGACTCTGTCTCAAAAAAAAAAAAAAAAAAAAAACAATAAAAAACAAAATAAAAACAAATAGTGAAGCTGCTGGTCATGGTGGTATGTGCCTGTAATCCCTGCAACTCAGGAGACTGAGGCAGGAGGATTGCTTGAACCCAGGAGTTTGAGGCTGTGATGAGCCATGATTGTACCAGGAGTTCGAGGCTGTGATGAGCCATGATTGTACCAGGAGTTCGAGGCTGTGATGAGCCATGATTGTAACATTGCACTCCAGCCTGGGAAAAAGAGTGACTAAAACTCTAAAATAATTAAAAGTAAATAAAATTGTGAATCTAGTGGTTTATTAATTAAATCTCAAAAATATTTTAGAAGTATTGAGGACCCCCAAAGAGCTTTTCGTCATGTGTGATGGATAAATATTCAGATAAATGGAATATTTTCTACATTCGAAATCAAAACTGACAACATTTTAAACTATTCATTTGATTTCTAAAAACATGCTGGGTGTGGTTGCTCACACCTGTAATTCCAACACTTTGAGAGGCAGGTGAATCAAGTGAGGTCAGGAGTTCAAGACTAGCCTGGCCAACATAGTCAAACCTCATCTCTACTAAAAATTAGCTGAGTATGGTGGCAAGCACCTGTAGTCCCACCTACCTGAGAGGCTGACATAGGAGAATTGCTTGAACCTAGGAGGCAGAGGTTGCAGTGAGCTGAGATTGCACTACTGCACTCCAGCCTAGGCAACAGCAAGGTTCCATCTCAAAGAAAAAAAAGTAAATTTAAAAAACATAGCAATAATAAACATGATAAGGACTTGTTTTATGAAAACATATTTTTCAAACAGCATCATGACGAATGTCATTGTTTTACACTTTTGTCAACAGATTTGTAGAAATTTGCAACTCTCTCATACCTGGTTTAATAGGAGACAGCTGGATTTTCAGATTTGTGGCTGCATTCAATCTGTGTTGGAAAATTCTACCAGACACTTGAGATAATGAGAACAAAAAAATTAACAATATATTAATATTGTTATAAAAATAGTTTTGACGTAGCAGGCTGCCTGACAGGGCCTTGATAACTCCCAGGAACCTCCAGACCACACTTTGTGAAGTACTATTAGAAACACGCACAAGTATTAATTGTTGAAATAATGTAACATCTGGGATTTGCTTCAAAATTTCCGACACTGCGGGGCAGACACTGAGCAGACCAGATTCCACTTGCTTGTGGGCATTGCTCAGCTTCCTCTGTGACCATGTCTGACAAGCCCGACGTGGATGAGATCGGGAAACTCAGTAAGTCAAAACTAAAGAAGACAGAAATTCAAGAGAAAAATCCACTGCCTTCCAAGGAACTGATCAAACAGGAGAAGCAAGCAGGCTTTGTCATGTGGTGTGCACCGCCAACATGCCCTGCTCATTCCATAAAGCATTGCTTTCTATTTTACTTCTTTTAGATGTCTAATTTTGAATAATGCAAAGAGGTTAAATCAAGTTTAAATGACTGTGCTGTCCCTTTGACATCAAAGAACTGCTGAGGACGATGGCTGTGCCTGCCTCTGGTATCTGCCTGTCTGGCTGGCAGGGAAGGACAGAACTTGCATGTTGGTGAAGGAAAAAGTGTGGTGGCATGACAGTGAAATCTAGAATAAAAGCGAGCTGGCCAAGGCGTCCTGCAGGCTGGAAAATGCAGTTTAATCAGATTGCCATTTTTTTTTTTTGATGTTGTTGTTGTTCAAATAATTTTAATTATGGGAATGCATAGTTTTTGGTTTTTGTTTTTTTTTTTTTTGAGAGAGCGTTTCACTCTTGTCCAAGCTGGAGTGCAATGGTGCAATCTCAGCTCACTGCAACCTCACCTCTGAGTTCAAGCTATTCTGCCTCCACCTCCTGAGTTGCTGGAATTACAGGTATCTGCCACCATGCCCAGCTAATGTTTTTTGTTGTTGTATTTTTAGTAGAGACAGGGTTTCTCCATGTTGGCCAGGCCAGTCTTGAACTTCTGACCTCAGGTGATTCACCTGCCTTGGCCTCCCAAAGTGATGGGATTATAGGCATGAGTCATCATGCCTGGCTCAATTTTAAAATTATATGAATAAAAAGTTAAAATTTTTGAAAAATAAAATTCTCCATGACAAAGGATGGTGATGAAGGAGTGGTCAAAAGCTAGATGACAAAGATTATCAGCACCTTGTAGAAGCAGGGTAATAGGTCACAGGTGTCTTCTATGTTAATCTCTCTTCTTTAGTGTAACCCTGAAATTGCTCATAATACAAATTGTTGTTATTTGCTGGGCACAGTGGCTCATGCCTGTAAGCCCAGCGCTTTAGGAAGCTGAGGTGGGAGTATCACTTGAGCTCAGGAGTTCAAGACCAGACTGGGCAACATAGTGAGACCTCATCTCTACTAAGAATAAAAAAATTAGCCTGGTGTTAGTGGCACATGTGTGTGGTCCCAGCTTCTTGGGAGGCTGTGGCGGGAGGACTGCTTGAGCCCAGGAGGTCAGGGCTGTAATGAGCTGTAATCACAGCACTGCATTCCAGCCTGGGTGACACAGCAAGTTGCTATCCCAAAACAAAACAAAACAAATTGTTGTTATTGCTCATATTTCAATCAATGCTTATTTAACAGAGCAAAAGACCTGGGGTAGTTGGTAGCAGGAAAAAGCAAGTTAGAGACTGGATATGTAAAGATGCAAAGATGTACTAGATACAGTCCCTGCATTCAATGGGTTTTCATCTGACAAGGGGAAACAGTGATGCATAGCTGGAAAGAACTGGAAGGAAGACATCTGATAAAGAACTCGTCACATTTAATGAGCACCAGGCGCTCTGCTGAGGGCCTTACATGCACTTCCTCCTCAAGGCAACCCTCTGAGACAGGCATCATTATCTCTAGCAAAGAAGGAAACTGAAGCTCCGAGAAGTTGAGTAACTCACCCACGATCTCACGGCGGAAAGTGGTAGAGCTGCAACTTACACGTCTGTTGACTCCAAAGCCTGTGCTTTTCATGGCTCCACCCTTTCTTTCTTTCTTTTTTTTTTTTTTTTTTTGAGACTGAGTTTCGCTCTTGTTACCCAGGCTGGAGGGCAATGGCGCCATCTCGGCTCACTGCAACCTCTGCCTGTTGGGTTCCTGGGTTCAGGTAATTCTCCTGCCTCAGCCTTCTGAGTAGCTGGAATTACAGGCACGCGTCACCATGCCCAGCTAATTTTTTGTTGTATTTTTAGTAGAGACGGGGTTTCACCATGTTGACCAGGATGGTCTCGATCTCTTGACCTCGTGATCCACCCGCCTCGGCCTCCCAAATTGCTGGGATTACAGGCGTGAGCCACCACGCCCGGCCCTATGGCTCCACCCTTTCTTTCTAAACCTTTCAGTTACACAATCCTGGAACATCATTCTCACTGTGTGCCACATAAATGGCACTCATCAGAGGCCCAGCTGGTGACCTAGAGGAGCCCACAGTCTTTAAGAGAACAAAAAATATTATCAGCTGAGTTGGTCTTTACACTATACCTATCCCCTCATTCAATCCTCTCAATTTAAATTCATGGAGTAGGGGCTGGATGGGATAGCTCACACCTGTAATGCTAGTACTTTGGGAGACTGAGGCGGGTGGATTGCTTGAGGTCGGGAGTTCAACACCAGCCTGGCTAACATGACGAAACCCCGTCTCCACTAAAAATACAAAAATTAGCTGGGCATGGTGGTATACACCTGTAATCCTGGCTGCTTGAAAGGCTGAGGCCCCAGAGTCACTTGAACCTGAAAGGTGGAGGTTGCAGTGAGCTGATATCGTGCCACTGTACTCCAGCCTGGGTGACAGAGTGAGACTCTGTCTCAAAAAAAAAACCAAACTATGAGTGCTTGTTTACAAAACAATGCTTTAAGAAGTAAATGCTCAGGTGCAGTGCTCATGCCTATAATCCCAGCATTTCTGGAGGCCGAGGCAAGTGGATCACCCGAGGTCAGGAGTTTGAGACAGCCTGACCAACATTGTGAAACACTGTCTCTATCAAAAATACAAAAATATTAGCTGGACGTGGTGGCACGTACCTGTAACCCCAGCTACTTGGGAGGCTGAGGTGGGAGGATTGCTTGAGCCTGGGAGATGGAGGTTGCAGTGAGCTGAGATTAAGCCACTGCACTCCAGCCTGGGCAACAGAGCAAGACTCTGTCTACCACCCCCGAAAAAGAAGTGAATGCAGAGCCTGGGCGCAGTGGCTCACGCTTGTAATCCCAGCACTTTGGGAGACCGATGTGAGCAGATCACGAGATTAGGAGGTCAAGACCAGCCTGGCCAACACAGTGAAACCCCGTCTCTACTAAAAATACAAAAATTAGCTGGATGTGGTGGCAGGTGTCTGTAATCTCAGCTACTTGGGAGGCTGAGGCAGGAGAATTGCTTGAACCCAGGAGGTTGAGATTGTAGTGAGCCAAGATTGCGCCACTGCACTCTAGCCTGGGCGACAGACCCAGACTCCGTCAAAAAAAATAAATAAATAAGTGAATGCTCTGTATGTGTAGACCCATACATATGTGTAGGTATAAGATTACCTGAGTAATAAGAAAATATGGGAAGATACATCCCAGGTTCTCGGGTGGATGGATGACCTTGGGCAAATGGTGTTGACGTAGGGGAAGGAAGGAGAGGAAGAGGGAGGGGCTCAGTTAAACAAATAAAAGAAACAGAAAAAAAGAGCACTCTTTCTTTTACAAAGCATGTATGTTACTATATTTATGTAGTTAAGTAAAATTATATATGAGTGTGATTATGACAAAGGGATTACATTGTAAAGCATTTCGTTTAAAAAGAAATGGAAGGCTGAAATAAATTCCGGGGAATTGATGACTAAAACGGTAAGCAATACCTTTTGGCTTTCCAAAGACCAGATGATCAACAATTTTAAATGAAAATTTCTTCATAAGGAAAAACAAAAGTCAGAGAAAGTAAAAAAGGAAGTGTTTGCTCTCCTTCATTCTAAGAGTAACAAACTAATGGGATTGAAGTGTGACAAATATACCAACCACAGCTTTCAAGATTCATGTGGTCTAAACATGGTTAACAACAGGAGTAGGAAACACACTGTAAGATAGTTACTGCTTCCAGCAGAGCTACTTTTCTGATTATAGACCAAATGGAAAAATAATATTACAGTATTTATCATCCTTGAATGCCTGCTAAGAATGAGGCTACTAATTTTTGTTGTTTTTGAGACAGAGTCTTGCTCTGTTGCCCAGGCTAGAGTGCAGTGGCACAATCTTGGCTCACTGCAGCCTCTGCCTCCCAGGTTCAAGGGAGTTTCCTGCCTCAGCCTCCTAAGTAGCTGGGACTACAGGTGCGTGCTATCATGCCTGCCTAATTTTTTGTATTTTTTTTTAATTTTACAATTTTATTTATGTATTTTTTAATGGGGTTTCACCATGATGGCCGAGCTGGTCTTGAACTCCTGACCTCAGGTGATCCACCCACCTCGGCCTCCCAAAGTGCTAGGATTATAAGCATGAGCCACCGCGCCCAGCCAGAATTTTTTTTTTTTTATTAGAGACAGGGTTTCACTGGGTTAGCCAGGATGATCTCAATCTTTTGACCTTGTGATCTGCCTGCCTCAGCCTCCCAAAGTGCTGGGATTACAACTGTGAGCCACCGTGTCCAGCCTACACATTTTTTTTAAAATAAAAATTTAATATATGTATTTTTTTTCTTTTTCTTTTTGTAGAGGTGGGGTTTCACCATGTTGCCCAGGCTGGTCTCAAACTTCTGGGCTCAAGGGAGCCACATGCCTCAGCTGCCCGAAGTGCTGAAATGACAGGTATGAGCCATTGTGCTCAACCAACAAAAGTTTTAACATGGATTATGAAGGTTGGCTTAGACTCAGGGATATACTAATAATTTTAAAGAATATTCTGATATCTGTGGCTTAAAGAGCCAGAGAAAAAAGAAAAAAAAAAGAATATTCTAATATACTAAACATTTGATGTTTTTAAATTTGTAGAACAAGCACCAAGTGAAACCAAAATCTTTTCAAACCATGTAGAGAGCTATAAACAAAAGAATCCTGTAACTATGAGATAGCCATCGAAGTAACAAAAGTGACTTTTGTGAAACAGTTGACTCCACGTGTCTGCTTTGACTGAGACAAACTCATCACATGGCTAATTCCCTTCCTCCTTCTACAGTGCTAGGATTGCTCAGCTTCCTTTTCCCTTGTCTTTATTTTTTTTTGGAGACAGGGTCTCACTCTATGGCCCAGGCTGGAGTTCAGTGGTGTGATCTCAGCTCACTGCAACCTCCACCTCCCAGGTTCAAGTGATTCTCCTGCCTCAGCCTCCCAAGTACCTGGGATTATGGGTACGTGCCACCATGCCCAGCTAATTTTTTGTATTTTTAGTAGAAACGGAGTTTCGCTACATTGGCCAGGCTGGTCTCAAACTTCTGGCTTCAAGAGATCTGCCCACCTTGGCCTCCCAAAGTG